GGAGCAGAAAAGGTGTGCTGTTTTGGAAGAAAAAAGGGCATCTAGTTGATTGACTAGTCCTCCCCGTGTCATTGTATATGATATGTTTTTAATTTAATATTGTTTGTACTCAAATGAATTGTTGAGCCTTCACAAAAAGGTTCTTTTGTATAAAACTAGACTACATTTGTTTCCTGGTAAATTGAGATCTAGGTGGACCGGACCTTTCATAGTTAAAACTGTTTTTTCTCACGGGACCATTGAGATTGAAAATCCCAGGAATGGTAATGTTTTTAAAGTGACTGGCCAACGTCTTAAACCAGTTTTGGAGAATTTCCCACCTGAAGAGGAGAGGAGTCCATTGAATTAAAAGGCCCTATTTATCGAGACCCATAAACATAATAATAAAAGCAATGTTACTTTTAGGAGTTGTTAGTTTTTCGTTTGTAATTTTTTTCCCTTGTGTTTTTGGCAATAATCCCTTGCAGATTCATGGTTCATCTTTTCTTTTTTAATAAATTTTTTGTTGACATTCAAAAAAATATATATATATATATATAGATATGGTTCATTATTTAAGGTAATCTCCTAACCTTTGTGATTTTGTTTTTTACATTGAGGACAATGCATCGTTTAGGTTGGGGGGAGAAAATACTTTCTTTGAGAAGAATTTATATGTTTGCTTGCTGCAATGAGTTAGTTGTTTTGTTATTAAAAAAAAAGAAAAAGAAGAGACCTTGTCTAGCTTAAGAAGCTGTCAAAGCTCGAGCCATGATGGTTCTCATTCAAAACAGAACCAAACAAAACATGGAAAAAAATGACCATAAATTTATTGCAGGTGTTATTAACTTGTAGTTACTATTTATTTGGAATGCTGAAGTATTTTGGTGCTTGATATTTACTTCTCTCCTAGTTCTTCCCCTCATCATTATCTATATAATAAGACAAGAGGCTTTTTGAAAATGTCCCAAATGTATCAGAGATACATTTTAAATCAAGGGTTTAGATCCATTCTAATAAATATCAATGGTTGAGATTGTTTGATTCCCGCCCAAACGCTCATCTCTCTCTTACACCCACATCTGCCCAAACAGACGCCTCTCTTTACACGTTCTCTCTCTACACATCTGGCCCTCTCTACATGTTCTCTCATCGCCGCCATTGAAGGAGAAGATCGAACTTGGCTCCCTTCAAACCCATCGTTGCTGCAATTCAAACTGATTGAGTTCCATGACGATCTTGATGATGAGATAGAAAACTAGATCTTATACACACACACACCTCTTTGGGTGTTTGGATCTTATAATAAAGAGCATTGCGACAACACAAGCAAACCCCAAAAAACCCTAGATTTCTCGATACAAATTCCAGGGTCTTCGAACCTTTCGAAGATCATCGCTTAGCACCGCCACTGTTAAGGTACAAACTGATCAACAAAATCGATTGGTTTCCTCGAATTGATTGATTTTTTTGATCTTTTTCTCTACACATATTCTTCATATGATTTCTATTTTGTTTTTTTTTTCTTTCTCCTTTTTAAGTATTTTTTCCGTTTGTTTTTTGCTTTTAGGAGTGATTGTTTTGATCATTGTCACTGTTTATCTACATATTCAATATCTGCCTATGATTATGGCTGTGCTATTTGATTTTAGCTATGAAATTAAAAAATTGTAATTTATTGGAAGGCCATTAGACTTTTTATTTTGATTTTTTTACTTCTATATTTATTGTAATTATGTTATATCTTCAATTCATTGTCTGCTTGCTTTCTATAGAAGGTTTAAGGAACACTCTTAATCTGACCCGACCAAATAAAATCAAAATGAAGAAGTGTTATAAGAATCAGTTTCCTTCTCTGTTAATTACTGAATATATTTTTCCTCATGTCATTGCTTTTTTCTAGAATGTCCATTTACCTTTTAATGACATTGCTTTTGGTTTATTAGGTGGCTGGGCACTTCACTTATGGAGTAATGGCACTCTCTGCAGCCACATTTTTGTTCTGGAACCTTTTTGGTGCACAAATTTTACCAGTAGCACTTCATCAAGGAAATCCTGTTTCATTGGCACTGCAGCTGTCTTGCAGTGTTCTGGTATGATAATCAGAAGTTATATTAGAACTCATGATAATCCATGTGTCCAACGCAATGTAAATTTAGTTAATATACGAGCACTGTTTTGAGTTTGGTTGAGATTTGATTTATTGTTCAAGATTGAAGACCATGCTGTTTTGTATCTCTCATTTTTTGTGTTCTTATCATTATGCTCCAGTGGTGTCCTTATAAGCCTATCCTACTTTTTCGAGGCAGTAGTTATACTTTAATTTCTGATTGCAGGTTGTTGCTAAAGGCACGGTAGAATTATTTAAAATCCCAGATAGAATTAACTCATATTCAAAATCAAATCCCAAGCATATTCAAAATCCCAAACAATATATTCAAGATTGAATTAACCTAGATAGAATTATTGGGATTTAGAATTAAAAACTAAACACCATATCAAAACTTCACAATTTCCCATATAGACTAAAATCATAATCATAATTCTTTATTTGTTTATTTATTTTTAAATTGATGAGGGGCCGGTATTGTGATTTATGGGTGGAAAATTGAATTTAGGAAGGTGAGTAATCATTTAGTTTGTTGATCTGACATCACAGTAATTTATAATCTGCAAGATATCTGAGAAATTATTGAGAGGAGTTAGAATTCCATAGAGAAATTGATGGATTCGCAAAAATTCTGATTTATATCGCTTGGGAGAACAGGAAAGTAGGTACTTGCAATTTGTACATGCTTGAAATGATTTGGTAATTCTAGACATAAGAGAGAAGTTTTATGATGGAGATTAATTTAGTTGATTAAATCTCTTACCGTTGATTGGAAAATTAGTACATTATTGAATTAAAATTGGCGTTGAGGTTGGGTCGTCGAGGCTGCAGACGCTTACTGAAGGTATGTGTATATTAGATTTCTGAATGGAGTGATGATACTGTTCTGAATTTATATTCTTAGTAGCCTATGAGGAAAATGTGCAGTGAAACATGTTTCATTCAGATAATTGAATTGAAATTACTAATGATATAGCTCTGATTGAGCATTTCTATAATTCAATATTATGCTGAATTGAATTCTTATAAATGTTCCATTTTATGTGTTGTGGAAATAAAATAAAATTAAATAAATTGAAAATGTGTAGTATGTAAGTGGGCTGACAAGTGTTTGGTTTATGTGATCATTGGATCATGAATGTTCTGTATATGTGAAGTTAGGATCAGGCTTAGTTGGATATAATTGAATTGAGTGCATGTTCATTTTTGGTGTTTGGAAAGAATAGTTATAACCATTATTCTCTTTGATCTCTATTGATACAACATTGCCAGCTGTGATGTTGAAACTTTGTTTAAAATCAGGGATAATGCTGTTGAAAAGTAGCAGACATGAGTACAATACAGTTAAGTTTATGTTGTCGATGGCGTTGAGGTCGGGTTGCCGAGGCTGCAGACGCTTCCTGAAGGTATGTGTATATCAGATTTCTGAATGGAGTGATGAAACTGTTCTGAATTTATATTCTTAGTAGCCTATGAGGAAAATGTGCAGTGAAACATGTTTCATTCAGATAATTGAATTGAAATTACTAATGATATAGCTTTGATTGAGCATTTCTATTATTCAATATTATGCTGAATTGAATTCTTATAAATGTTCCATTTTATGCGTTGTGGAAATAAACTAAAATAAAATAAATTGAAAATGTGTAGTATGTAAGTGGGCTGACAAGTGTCTGGTTTATGTGATCGTTGGATCATGAATGTTCTGTATATGTGAAGTTAGGATCAGGCTTAGTTGGATATAATTGAATTGAGTGCATGTTCATTTTTGGTGTTTGGAAAGAATAGTTATAACCATTATTCTCTTTGATCTCTATTGATACAACATTGCCAGCTGTAATGTTGAAACTTTGTTTAAAATCAGGGATAATGATGTTGAAAAGTAGCAGACATGAGTACAATACAATTAAGTTGTCCCTTCTAAACCTTATCGGACAAGGGTGCTTGATAGGATTGACGAGGAGTTAGGATGTAGAAGCAATGAAACTTATAAACAAAAATCGGGCTGTGATTTTTGATTTTCTAATATGGGAAATTGGGTATTCATAAAAATGAAAACTTTGACAAATACTTTTATTGGTGATAGAAAGGGCCACAACTTGCTTGCAATAGGAACCCTTTGTTTGATTGGTCTTTTTATGTAGCAACTCTAGAGTAGTTTGCTTGCAATATGAATATCTGGTATTCAACTTGCTATGTCTCTGTGGATTTTGCATTTTCCTCTTCTTTTCTGGCAATCAGATTGCTTTTTCACCTTAACAATGGCAATCTTCTGTTTTAGGAAAACCTGCTGGCCATGTGGGTTCAACCAAAAGAACTGGGCAATCTTCTTTTTTTTTTTTTTTTTAATTTTCTTGATTAGTGGTTGATTAGTGCCTTTTTTTCATATCCACTGGCTTCTTTGTTTGGTGCAACGTTGTCATCTAATTGTGATGATATAATAGATTTTACTTGCAAGAGTGATTATGTTTTTCATGTTGAAAAATTGTCACTCACTATGGAGGGTTGAAACAGTGACTGTATTTTATTTTATCTTTTGGTCAGAGTGATTGTTATTAATTGCTATTTATTGCCTGTTGATGGGAATCATAGATGAAGGGAAAGATATGTATCGGATTAGATAATGGGAAAGACCAAGAAAATTTGAGATAATTGAGATAATTGAAATTTTTTTAGACTAAGACATTGAAAATTTGTTTTTGCATTGCCTCTTTCTAGCATGCTTATTAGTAGCTGATTGGTGTAATTGGTTTAGTGTGTAGTATTTTGTTTTTATTTATTTATTTATTTTTAGGGAGGGGGGAGGGGGTTTTTAATGCAGTTACCCTAGCAAGAGTGCTTGGTTTGTTTTTCTATACGCTCATAGAAATTATTTTTGTGATTTTTTGGCACTCATAGTTGTGGGTTGTGATGTCACATTTGTTTGGTTACTTACTGGTAATTGTAAAGAAGTAACCTCACTGTAAATAGATGGAGGCTTCCCTTCCCTTGCATTGTAAAAGGGAAAGGTGAGATAAATGGATAAAATATTTAGCTTATATTTCATTGACATTTCCCTTACCATTTTTTTTTTTATTTAAAATTCCTATCCAAATCTATGATCTATACTAATTTGGAACCTATGATTTTGTTTTTGTTGTTTTATAGGTGTAACCTATGTTATTTGGTTTGGTTTGATTTGATTTGGGTCTGAAATAATATTTGATCTTCATAAAATGGGTTCTGATTTTAGAAATGTATTTTTATTTTTAGTTTGATTTATGAAATGGATTTAATTCCTTAATGGAAAATGAGTGTTGATTTTTTATGATTTTGAAAAAGTTTTTGAAATGGGTGTTGAATAAGGTTCACATCGCCACCTCCGCTCTGTGACTGTCCACCACCATTGAAAAAGAAGATCGAACAAAGAAAATTTTACCGTTATGTTTTAATAATTTTATTTTAATTTATATTTTAATCCCATTATTAATTGCACCGTGCCTTCAGGCACGGGCATACACTAGTGCTTACATATGTGCTAATGTAAGCATTGTTCTTTTATTCTACAGTTTTACTCAGGAAATTCGTCTATTTTTTCTTTATTTTGGAGAGGTGGTTCTACATGATGCTGATCCCAGTAGGAGGACCTTCATTCATTCATGTTTGAGCCGGTAAAGATGGTTTAGTTTGTAGTCCTTTCACAATAGTTTATTTGTGGGGAAAAAATGAAATTATGATTTCATCTAACAATTATTCTCTATTTATGCATATCATATGATAAATCATATTTGAAAATCACTCTTCCAATGTTTGATTGCAGTGAATTTTTAGACCCTGTTGTTGCTGCTACACTGACTTTCGAAATCTTAACAAGAGAAAACTTCTAACTAATTTTCCTACATTACTCCCTTAGGTATGGTTTGAGATTGGCATGATTCTTTGCATAGGATTTAGTTTCTTTATTTGACTGAATTTTCAGATTTAGACGTAGAAAAGAAGAAATATGAAACATGTATATCAAATATTTTGGTATCTTATCCTTCTCTAACATCAGTCTTGCATTTGTAGTTTTTTCCATTAATGCTAAAGCTCATGAAATGTAGAGAAGTAAGTTCCTTGTGTCATCTTTTTGGTTCCGTTCTTAAACGATATATTTCATTTATTTTATTGAAATGATCTTAGTTATAGTTCGTGCAATTGTTGTGTCCTTATAACTTGATATTTGTATATGACAAATGTTAAAAGTGCTGAATATTGGGATTGAAATAAGGAAGTGTCTTGAAAATAGGTCAAACAGTTAAAAGAAAGTGCATTAATTTCAATAAAAACTGCATTGAATTTAATAAGAAGTGTCTTGTGTTTTCAAATTTATTTTTTGGTCTACTTTTCGTGTCCTAGGGCACCTTTTAGCAAGACCCTTCATATATATTGGTATTCATAATTGTAGTTTTATTTTATTTTTGTCTTGTCAATGCTACTTCTATTCATAATCGTTGCCTATGTGATGCCACATCTTATTTTGTATGTTTAAAGTTATTATGCACCTTCCCAACCTTGTTGGAACAAAATATGGTACAGTAATTTCGTATTGAAACTAATTAAGCTTAATGGAAATTTTGACAACTAAACACATATATTTAATTTCAAAAAGGAGGATCTAAAAGAATGCTTTCAGAGATACTGTGAACTTAATCTGCAGTGAAGGGCATTACTGACTTTCATACATATATTTTTTTTCTGTTCTTTTTTGATAGAGATCAGAAAATTCGTTTCTAAGTGTGCTTCCAGCATTGATGTCTCTTGGATCATTTGTTCATCTTATTTCCATCTCTCGTTGACTTACCAAGTGAGTTTGTTTTCCAGGATTCCCTAGTAGTTACATTATGCTTCTTTTCGTGTCTTTCTTTCGTGGTTTTCGTCTCTTGCCATATTTCACCAATGAGCAAAAATGCCTAGGGATATGAAAAAATTTACCAAAAAATCTACCACTCACATGGGTGTGGGACCAACACCCATGTGAGTGTTTGCTAGAACATTTGGGGTCTTGCATTATTGTTCGCCAATTGAAGTTCTACTTACTCTATTAACAGTTGCACCGTGTTATTTTCCTTCCATTAATTTATTGATCAGTCAAATAGGCCATTTTGAAATGCCTTAATTAAATTTGTTCAGAAATTCAAAATCTACATGCTTGGTACTAGTTGGAAAACTGGATTTTATTATTTTGAATGAAAGCTAGAAAGAATAATATTTCTTATTCTCATATTAAACAATGTACACACAACACCTCTATTAATAGGAGACACATGGCATAAAATAAGGGATTGATTAGCTACTGATTCTGAGGACTGATAGCTACTATTTAGTTACTAATTCTAATTCTAAATAAACTTTCCTATTCTATAGTATTGACTAAATCTAGATATTTACAGCTGTGATATCCTAAAGAATTCAGCCATATCCTGGCAGAATTATTTTCTTCCCATTTCCAACACTCCCCCTCAAGTTGGCTTGAATATGTCTTCCATGGCCAACTTGTAGATTAGGTGGTTGAACTGCCTCTTGTTTAGTCCCTTTGTAAGAACATTTGCTATCTGCTCCGCAGTGGGTATATAAGACATGTAGATCAATTCCTTCTCCATCTTTTCTTTGATAAAGTGCTTGTCGACTTCCACATGCTTAGTTCTGTTGTGAAGAACAAGATTATGAGCAATTGCACTTGCTGCCTTCTTGTTACAGTAAACTTCCATTGGTGATGTTCTTGGAATTTTTAAGTCTTCCAATAATCTCTCGATCCACAAAGCTTTACAAATTCCATGAGTCACTGATCTAAATTCAGCTTCAGCACTACTTTTAGCCACTACGTTCTGTTTTTTTAGAGGGTCAGAAATCAAACCCCAAATTAAGTATGGGCCTAAGTACTGAGGTCGTCCCAAAGAGGCGACCGGGAATGATAAAGGAGCATGGGCTAAAGTTCAAGGGAAGTGGGCCAACAGTAGGCCGGAGTAGGTCAGACCCGCCAAGGGTCCAAACAGACTCCACGAAGGAAAATGACCAAGTCAAGTTGCAACGGGAACACATGCGACGGTCAAGTTGCAGAGGGAATACATGCAGCGGGGAAGTTGCCGAGGTACTTTGCCTCAGTGCCGCCATTCCTAATATCTTCGGCTCCGCCGCCATCCAAAGTTGATGAGGGAATTGCAGATGTGACAGTTCAGAGGCGACAGTTGCGACGACCAAGTTGCGGAGACACTTTGTCTTAGCGCCGCCATTCCAAGTATTCTCGGTTCCGTCGCCACCTGGAGTTGCTGAGGGAAGAAGAGAACCGAAGCAACCAAGTTGCAGAGGCGCCCAAGTTGCGGACGCACTTTGTCGGCGCCGCCATCTCTAATATTGTCGGTTATGCCATTTGAACTTGCCACGGGAAATGACTACCGCAGCAACTACTGCCGCAGCAACCAACTTGCGGAGGGAACATCCCGCCGAGGTGATAGCAGCCTCTGGGAAAAGCTTTCCCTCTGCAAGGAGAGGGTAATGCCTGGTGCTGATAGCAGGACTCAAGGCATTACTAGCCTAGGACTGATAGCAGGCCCCAAGACTTATTGGTTGGAGTTGATAGCAGGCCCAGGGTACCAGTTTATCGCGACGATCCCGCGAAGATGGGAGCAGGGTAGCCCTAGCATAAGGGACTCTCTTTCCATTACCCAGGTCATAGACTTGCCTTAGTCGCACAGGCAGGACTAAGGAAGCCCCTTGGGCTTGGTACTAAGGAACAACAAGGCTAATAGCAGGCTTGGCTGTGGCCTTCGCCTGGGGAAGCTGGCGAGTTTGTGGTTAGGTGGCTAAGGGTGAAAGCTTCGCTGCGGTGAGCATGAACATTGTCGATAGCAAACTAATAGAGTCCTGAGAATGCATGTAGTGGCCAAGTAGAACTGAGAAGGCAAGTGCAGTAACAAAGTTTATCGCTGCAACTGCACTTGCTGAGGTTCGAGCTGAGAAGGCAAGTGCAGCGGCAAACGCTCCCGTCGCAACTGCACTTGCTGAGGCTCAAGAGGGAGTTGTCGCGCCAAACACTCTCGTCGCAACTACACTTGCTGAGGCTCAAAAAGGTAATTGCGAAGGCAAACAGATAGTATACAGTACATGCAGAAGGACACGTGGCACCTTCAGCCTGGTGGCTCAAGGCAGAATATTCCATGTGATCCTCTAGGACACATGTCCTCTCTCTATTTGGCCACTAGGTGTTCTCTTGGTGCCAAGGAAAAGCCTATATAAATAGGACCCATTTCCCATGGTTCAATAAGAGGAATTTCAGGGATTTGGTGTAGATGCTGCCCATTTTGGCACTGCTATACATTTCTTCTTGAGCTATTTGCTTCACCCTCACCCAGCTGCACACTTTCCAACTTCCAGACAGTTGCTGCTGCTCATTCTCAAGCCACTTCCACCATTCTTGGACCATTAGCATAGTTTTGCCTCTCTAATTACCTTCTCTAACCTCGAACCCCTTTATATTTCTGGCGACTCCGCTAGGGAGGCTGCTTTGTTGATGGTTCATACCCGCAGTGGTTTACACCTCACTGGAAAAAAATGGCAGAGGATGAAGTTCAGCAAGGCTCTTCAAATGGCAGAGCAGCACATGCGGAGGACCGTGACCACAATGCTGTGATTGAGGCAGTTCAGTCACTCCAGGATACGCAGAGGGAGATCCTGGCAGCTTTGCAAACTCTCACTAAGACTGTTATGGCCATGGCTTCTCGACCAGCTCCAGCGCAAGCACCTCCGCCCGTAGCAGTCCCAAACCCAGTGCCTAACTTGTTCCCTGAGGTTTGGGCTCCGATCCAAGTGCCTCCGGTGGTACTTCTGGCGAACGGTGCAGCCGCTGGTTCAGCTACCCAGGAGCAAACTGGACCATTCTAGCCCACTCACCTTTTTACTCTAGCCGATGTACAAGCTATGCTCGAGCAAGAGCGTAGCAAGAAGCAACTCCCATCTCTTCCAAACTCAGATGTGAGTGCCCCATACTCTTAGGAGATATTGACCATGCCATATCCAACTGGGTATACAGTGCCCAAGTTTATTAAGTTTGATGGGAAACACGACAATGCCAGAGAACAGGTGGTGAGGTTCATTGAAACTCTTGGTGTCCACGGCAGTGACCACTTTCTGCGCCTTCGGGAGTTCTCCAAGTCCATTTACTGAAAGGGCTTGCAGCTGGTATGTGAAGTTGGCTCCCAACTTGATCAAGAGTTGGGAGGAGATGGTGAA